TAGTTTAGTTTCTTACTCAAGGGTTAAAACACTTGAATGAGACACTAAACTAACCCTTCCGAAGGGGGGTTGCTTTTTAAAAACTTGACCACCGAATGGGAGTTAATTTTGCGTGTTACTTAAGATTTCAAAACGCAACCAACCCCCTAGAAGGGGGGTTGGTCAATTGTTTTAACCCTCAATTTGGGGAGTTTAGTTTATATTCTTACACAAGATTGGTTGCGTTTTACAAACTCCGAAAGGAGCGCCCTGCTCTAGTTTAGGCTAAATTGTCTACCTTTACTCTGGTTGGAAGTTGCCAGTTACTCAGACAATTGTTGAGAGTTGTTGCTTTATTTTAGGTGGAATGTGTGTAGATTGTTAGGCGGTATTTAAGATCTGTAAAGCAGAGTTAAGTTGGAATCTTGAATGTCCTCAAATTGCAGAATGATTTTTCATATCACTGCTTGTCAAGTTGTTTTTCATCTTAGCTTTGCTTTGGTATTGGAATATTAAAAAGTCAAAATTTGTTATGCCATTACTTGTCTCATGGTTTGCTTCATGAGCTAGTTTGACACTGCTGGCTATTATCAAGTCATTTACTAACAAGAAACAATGAATTGAAGGCTAGTGTTTGTCTTCAGAGGGGAAAAGCTACTTCACGTGCCACATGCAGCGTTCCCTTTAATGTGTGTACGTATGTGCGACGTACATCAATACTCAAAATTTTTGTTATTAAAATTTTGTTTTAATTTTAATATTCTGTGCTGTCTTATTTATGTTGCTCCTGTATAATGTTTGAGTTCAGCTGAAGTAGTAATATAGATCAAAGTTAAATAAGAGAGAGGTATGTGAAAGTGTTAGGAGCAATTGGTGTTGGTACATGCGCAGTGCTTCGTAAAGCTAGGTACCTTGTCGGTGTATCAGCGACAGATTTTTGTTGCATAGGAGTTGAGAACTGCACATGCCCTAGATGTCCTTATAAACCATTTCATTAAAATCATGTCCAAGTGCTGTTATCTGAAAATTTGCCATTTTGGCTTATGATACATTACTGAAATTATTGATTCAGTACATTATGGGTTTTTTCTGTTATCTTTATGTTTTCCTACATGCATTTTTGCCCAGTTTCATTTCACATATGACTGCATTAGGTGGAAAATAGGCAAAGCTGATGGAATCAGTGATTAATAATTAATGTTTGTGTTGAATGTGGTTTGCCTTAACTGTGATAACTGTGACATGAAGGTAATTAAAAAAGGAACTTTTTTTCAGGTTGTTAGAAGAACTGGGAACAAACTGATTCTGTGAGTACAATTGGAAATATAGTTGACCCGTATTCATGTAGAAGTTTGTAGCTTATAGTATAGTGTGGTGGACGTACATGTCAGTTGGTTGTAATCTGGAATAAAGTCCCAGGTTTAGTGGGTTTGCAGTACACATGTTAGTCGGTAAACCTGAAGGGAAAAGGTCATTTGGGAGATGATTGTCTAGCATTTTTAATAAATTGCTGTTAGTTTCAGTAAGGCTTTGGGTGTTGAAAGATTGTGAATCCTGGATACAGAGGTTTCTTATAATGAATGGTGATTCATCTCATGCATATTTGGGCTGTAACATTCTTTTCCTTTCCAGAACAACTTACAGTGCCTAAGTAAAGAAAAGCTAGGAAAAGCCACTTTGAGTTGGTGAAACAGTTCTTCCCAAAGAAATTCATTGTTATCAATATACTACTGAACAAGTTTTTAATAGTTTTAATGGAGAGGTTAATTATTGTCTTGCTTGCAGTGTAAACTTTAGAAGACTTCGTTTGAGGTTGGTTGGTCAAACCATTTATGGAGATGTGACTTAAAGCAGTCATAAATATTAATGGACTTGAGTTACTTGGATTGTAAATACACGTTTTGATCCAACATTTATTGATTTGATAATTTTTCTATTATGTAATAGGCCTAAATGACGGCATTTCATATTACAGCTTCTGGACATGATTTTACTAAATAGATGTATGTGGACGTCTAAACTCGTGTTTTGGAGAGAACCTTCCACTTCATTATAAACTAATTAGCATTTGATAAATACACTTTGCGTGTCCAAGTATGTCAGCTGTAAGAGTATAGGTATAATGCGTGAGAACGGCCTGTCGAAGCCACAGGGAAATTGAAAATAATACAGGAGTTACAACTGATAAATATAATTTCAGGGAAACTGTAAAATACAAATTCAAATCAGTATGAAAATATTTATACTTGATGGTGTATGGTTTAGGGGTTTATTATAAAAAACTCCCCTAACTCGTATGTATTTATGCACCAACATTGTTAATATAATATGAGCCAGGATAGCTCAGTCAGTATAGTGACTAGCTACGGGCTGGACGACCAGGGTTCTATCCCCGACGGGGCAGATTATTTTTCCTCTAGCCTCTGCGTCCAGACCGGCTCTGGGGCCAACCCAGCCTCCTCTACAATGGGTACAGGGGTCCTTTCCGGGGGTAAAGCCGGCCTGGGCTTGATGTTGACCACTCACCCCCATCTAGTGCCGAGGTCAAGAAAGGGAGGAGCTATACCTCCACTCCCCCCAAGCGCCTACATGGCGTATAGTGGGACAAACTTTACTTTTATTGTTGTTATAGTAGAACAACTCAGAACTACCTCATCCCTAATTAGAGAAATGCCTGAATACATTCGGTTTGTAATTTATTGATTTTGATAGGAATTTTATGCTAAAAGAATAATGATGGCTGACCATATCATGAAGTTCTTAAGGGCCTACTGATTGATTCATTCTTACGTAAGTGTACATTCTTATAAAGTACGAAGATGGACATTTTCCAGAGAAGTCTGAGTCATACATGTGTGTACATTGCCGTCTTAATAGGAACTTTTGCTGTACTACTAAGTGTTCACTTGGGTTGTCGAGTGTTTCCGATGAGAGCTCTTGGGCACAGTTTGATGAAAGTCGTCCAGGTATTTGAACCGATTCCCATTCCATGTAAAAAAAAAAAACCCCACTAACTTCACATATTCATATCAAAGTATTGTCAGCTTTGACTGAATGATAAGACCCTTTGATCGTTAGTTTCATTATATGTTTTGTATGTATGTACATGTAAATAAAACTGAATCTTCCGTGGTTGACAAAACTGGATATAAATGGAAAACCGCTGATGCATGAAATACGCAATTTTCGAAACTACGCTTAGCGAAGTATCACAGTACATTGACCAAATTGAACCCCATTTTAAATAACGCTGATCATTTATTTGTTTTTTGCACGAAGTGCACATATTAGCAGGCTTTAAATGACAAAACATTATGTTCTGCAGCATTATTCGAAACGTATTTTGTGTGTATATTTTTTTTAACGAAATACAAGGTAAGGGAGTGAATGTGTTTGGGTCAGTAGTTTTGTCGACAGTTCTCTGCTTTTGTGTTTGCTGTCGGAGACTGGATAACACAGTCTACTATCGACGCTGTGGACTGGATAGTCGGGATTCGAATTACGACAAGGCCAGATTTTTCTGTTCACTTTCGT